AGGATGACTGATATTACGTAACTGTTCAGTACTGTTTTCTTTTTTCATAATTTTGGTATCTCCAATTTCTAATTTGCATGTTGGACTGTCTCTTTTGCTAACATCCATGCATTATGTTTTCTTGCAATTGATGTTTTGTCCTTTCTTCTCGTTTTCCTAGACTACCTTTTGAAAGAGTTATTGTAGTTTCTTTTTTGTGTCTGTTATCAACTCTGAATCATCTACATATCCTATATTTTAAGACTGTAGCCGCCAATAAGGAATACTGGTAAGATTTTTAATTCTCCCAGAATCGCCTCACTGTATACGATGAATAAGTTTGGTGAAAAGCCATATTCTTGTTTTATTCACCCTTTCTATTTTTTGTGTGTTTATTGAATTCACATTCCATACACATGCAGGTAGTTTGCTGTCAGTATAGGATCTTGGTTACTCTAACATCTTTACAAAATATGTCAAAGTTGCCTGACAGTTCCAAGAGTTCTTTATGATATATTTTATCAAACTCTTTTGCATAGTCTAGGAAACATCCTTCTGCAATTGTATTGCTTTTTCTGATATCATTCTGAGCATAAATACGGAGTGCCTTGTTCCATTATATTTAACGAACCCACATTTTCTTGTTCTACTTCCGGTATGGTGTTTCTGTGCGCTCTATTCATCAGAATTTGGATGATTATTTGTGTAGTGACATGAAAATATATCTACCAATCAGAAGTTTTGCTCCTGGATGTAGCTTATCGTCATACCCAGGACGCCAATATGGAGTAGAAAATGTGAACACTATTACATAACGCATTTTTCTCACTCTTTGTTTAATTTTTCTATTTTCTTTCCTTTTGAATAACTTAAGCCACACTGATATCCACTTTAGAGATGCTTCATATTAGAGTAGAATTCTAGAATAGAATATTATAATAATATATTTTCTTACACTTTGTTTAGTTTTCTTTTTTTTTCTTCTTCCTTTTATTCTTCTTTTGTGTAACTTATGTCACACTGACATCAGTGGAGTTGGTTCAAGTTAAGTCAAATATGAAAACTAATATATAATCGATTTGCTTGTAAAAATATAAGCTTGTGTGCTTGCTAAATATTTTAGACGGCACGATTCAATACATGAACTGAAATAAGTAGATGTCACGAAAATGTGAAAACAAATAAAACTGTTCAATGCTTGACCTCTGCCATCAGTCGCGTTGAGACACTGACCAGATGTTGGACTATGAATTATTCAAGTGTAAATACTTGAAATAGTTTAGTTCTTTGCAGTAATGAAAAACAGTGAATATTTAACCTTCAACATTTACCTAATCCTCAGTTCCGCAATCATCTGTAACTAATTTCATTAACTCGAAGTGAAATGAATACATACTTGACAAGTTCTGAGTATATCAAAAGGAGAGCGAGTGCACACAGAAAGCAAGGGTCGAAAGAGATGGAAAATTACTTAGACAAAAGAATTGACTGCCCACGGAATAGAGCATTGCTCATAGAACCAGAAAGAGGAATTGATATAGAAACGGATGGAGGCTGAGTAACGACAAATTTGTGGACCAATCTTAGTAGAGATAATTAAGCTGAATTCAAAATGTCTTATTGTTTTTATGTTTCACTCTATTCATTCTTAACCACCCACTCGTTCTCTATCTTTTTCTCTCTCTCTTTCTCTCTCTCTCTCTATCTATCTCTGACCTATGTCCATTTAAGACTTAGATGATTATGGTTCTCCACAACTTCCTTTTCCCTTTTTTTCTGTCAGAATTTGAAGGGTGAGCCGTTATCACAATTTACGTTATTTACATGCAGGCTATTGCCTGAAATGTTTTGATAATAACAAATTGTGATAATAACATTATTCCACATGTAAACATTCTTTCTTAATAGCGTTCACCTAATAAAAGGCCCAAAAGACACTCAAGGAGATGAGTTATGACGTAAGAATACGAGGAAAGAAGTGTAGTTTATGAGATTATGTAAGAGGGATAACGGTTAACCTGAAACAATAAGAATTTAAGCCTGTATGAATCGAGAAAGCATCATCTCAGGAGTATGTTCCGCATTGTAGGGGTTATTGGAAAAGAATCTGCCTGGGTGGAATTTCCTTCTTTTGGAATGAGGATGATTCACAACAGTGTACGTTGCATAGCAGGTCTTAGCTGTGAATGTCTAAAATGGTGGAACTAAGGAATGTAGCTCGTCAGAATATTTGCAATCGTTCCCTTTCTTTAATTGTCTACGGGACAAATTTTCAGTGGAGTAAAGCGTCTTTTCGTGAATTTGGTGACATTCTAATTGTGAGTTCAATCCCTGGCCGGGTAGTGTACACTTCGACTGAATGAAAACGAGGGAGCAATAAGTGGAGTCGGTGTAATATGTCGACGAGTAAGGTACTGTCGTAAGGTTGGAACACCCGCAACGGGGTGTATTCTCCAATCTCAAATGAAGAGAGTACAGATACTACAATTGTTATTTACTCCTCACCCCATGGTGACAGGATATGGCATAAGGTCGGTTTAAAAGAGCCCAAGGTCTATGTGGGGTGTCCATACGCATGTATTTGAATGTGGAGAAAGGACAAAAATATCTCCGTCATCGCGAATATTTTCATGCTGATTTCGGGGTAATATAGGAGACCGGTATAAAATTGCTTCATATACATATGGACACACTACATAAACTTTGTGTCACATCCAGCCTTATTGAAGAGCTCTAGTAAATAAGTTCGAAAGTATATTTTACGTTATGAGAATGAGCGAATACCAAATTATATTCAGACATTTCATAAAGGCAATATGACGAACTGAATATCTCCACCAGAATTCAAATCAAATCGCTGATTAAACTGTCCGTGGTGGTAATAATATATATATATATATATATATATATATATATATATATATATATATATATATATATATATATATATCATAGAGTGGGGAAATGTTTTTGTGCGACACATTTCGTCCTTTTGGACTTCATTGCACTAAGTTTATGTTTTCATTGATGCGACTACGGATTCACAAAAACGAGTGAAGCAGGGATGTTTTTATTTAAAGATGATTTTTTTTAAAATTCTTTTTATATTATATACCAAAAAATATGATGTGGCATAATGGATATCGGCTAGGACTGAGAAATCGAAGAGCCGTGTTCGAATTCCTGTCGAGTTCGTTATATTCAGTTACGCTCAAATACCCTTGAAAATTATATGAATCACTTTTCCCCCCAGATATGAGTTGAATAGGAGGGCAGGCTGGGTTCTTTAGTCTTGGTTGACAACACTTCTACTGCAGCAAGAAATGGCAACATACCGCTGGAAAAAATATTCTGCCTCGTCAGTCATGCAACATAACATCCATGTTCGCCCAAGCGTGTATCAGGTATGGCACTTAACTGACAGACCCAAAACACATATAAATAAAATCATCATTTAATTAAAATCTCTCGTTCGTGGACATGTGTAGACGCACCATCGTAAATATAAATTTAGTCTGATGATGTCCTAAAGGACAGAACGCGTCACGCGAAAACTTTTTTTTTCCATTTTTTCATAAATCTTTCCTCCAAAATTTCTCTTTATATATAAAAATGTATATATTGTTAACATATATATATATATATATATAATTATTTATTTAAAAATATGATTCCAAATCGCTACATAAGAGGTCTCATGTTTCAAAACAAGAGCCGAAAACTTCAATTCCTATTTTCTATATATTTTCATATATATATATATATATATATATATATATATATATATATATATATATATATATATATATATATATGCAAGCCAATATATGGATATAGATCCGACAGTATGAAGAAAAATATACGGAAAAAACAAACAAAAATCCTTATATACAATTATGCTGTTTTAATGTTAATATGTCAACGTCAGACGTTTCGGTCTAATAAACCATCTTCAGGACATATTCATAAATTATAACATTATCAATTCAACATGACAAAGACGATGTACATAAGAATAAGACTTATCCAAACAGATAACTGAAAGTTTTATAAGATCAGCGCTCCGTTTAAAACATGATCGCGTTATTAGGTGAAGCCCGCAGTAGAATCAAAGTGAATGACCATTTTTTTTTATTTATTATCATTAAATTTTCATTTCTTTGAAGCTATACAGTATAATTACAAATACTTTTTTAATCCTTTAATTCTAAGCAAAGCTGATAATGCCACTAAGATGAAAGGGTTTATTGCTGTTGAAAGAGAACGAGAAGATGTTAATGATGAGAAATGTCAATAAAACTACAGGATTCAAGGAAGACAAAATTTAGTGACTAACTTTGAATTTAAATTTTAGAACTTCGTATGTGGCAGGGATGCAGAAAGCTAGAAGAGTGTTCCTCAGGGAAGAAGTGTGACAAAAGAAACTGTGAGAAAAAAAACTTACAGTTACATCTGGCCAATTCCACTGTAAAATTATGAGCTGGGTGCAATGGTATCGTGAATGTGCCATCTGGGTAATCAAATGTATAGTGATCATTAATGTGAAGAGGTTCTGGTTTCATAAAAGTGATGGTTATTTCCGTTCGCTGGTCAATATTGCGAACGAAATTTTCTCGCGTGTGTTTGTTCACAATCAAGTTACAAGTTTCATGCCTTAAAAACATTCCCTCGTTCTTGGTGTTTGTGGATAGAGACTTGAACAGGTTTATTTAAGTCCAGACCATTCTACTGCTGATTCTATTCCAATATTGAAAGAGCATTGATTGTCTTATAACGGTCTATTAATATCCTGATGGTCACTTACAGTGAAAGAATATTTTTAGATTGCAAGAATTTTTTTCGAGATAATAACGATTTACTGATACAAGTCCTACTCATTAACCCATAGCTGGAGTGGGGAAGAGGCAGATTCATATGTTTCTTTATAGTATTTGCGTGCAAGTGAATATAACTAACATGACTGGAAGTGAAACTCAGCTCTCCGATTTCCAATTCTGCGTCATTATCCAACTTGACTATAACTGGGATTCCCAAGCGGCCACCAATCTAGATACTGAACTTTCTCGACGTTGTTTAACTTCGGTGATCGTATAAGAACCGGTGTTTAAACCTGATATGGTCGTAAGACTTATTGCAACAGGACGTCCTGGCACGATATTGCCAGCTGACGATGTTCGAACTATTTTCAATACACAGCGAGATATCCTCCAACATGGGAATATGCGTGTCTCGATCAGTTATCCCTCCTGCAAATCGTGTTCTGTTAGTTGAACAATTGCCGATGGGATAGAATAATATATCCCCGGATAAAATTCGACCTTTATTTGACTATATACCTGGGTGTTTATAGACTTGTATTAACGCTGTAAGCAGATATACATTATTATGGAGATCTAGCCATGTTAGCACTCTTTGCACCTCTGTGTTTGTGTGACGTGGTAGATAAGAAGTTTTGAAAAGTGTTGATGTACCATGCTGTATGAGAGGAAAGGTTAAACATAGAGCAGGAATATGGTAATGAATTTGTTGAGGAGTTGTTAGCGAAAGAGAACAGTAATATCTTGTAGAGGCTTGTATCGGAAATCCTCTCTGGATGGGGAAAAAATAACAAGCCATTGGAAGTACTGGTAAGCATAAAAATATTCACATTATTCTTCTGTTTTACATAGAAAGAGAGAAAGAAATACTAGAGTCGTATCTTATTAGGAGGCCGCCATTTTTAATCGCGGATATCTTTTTCTATGCCGTAACACTATTCAATTATATCTTCAAAGACATGCCAGAAAGTTTACCATTCTGTCCGGTGTTAGTAATAGTTATATACTGTGGGGGCTACTGCCCAAATCTTTGCTGGAACCCGACCCAATATATCTATATATAATTCATATCTTTCTTTGTGCTGTTCTGGTCTCTATGTTATATCTACGAGGTTTTAATCTCTCTTGAAATAAGTTATTACTTAGTGGTGACATAATACATCACATTTCGTCAAAGTTATCATCATCAAAGATTGGGTGACACAACGGGTGGTAGGGGTGGGTTGAATATCTTATATTGCAGAAAGCAGAAACAAGAAATTGTTTGAGGAATTTGTACCAGACCTGTGTCAGAAATTGTAATCTCTTTCTACCCTAAATTAAATAAATACTAATCTACATCTATTTGCTAACGTAAGGGTCGGTGCATACTGCCCCCGACCTCCGCCAACTGGAGGCAACCCTAATTGCGGGCAGGGAACTGCTTTGTAACCCTCGCTATCTTATCAACATTTTTTTTACCTACATTTGATGGTAAAATAAGGAACAAATAGGAAACGTATATCAATTTAACATGTTTCACTTTTATTAAAGCTTCGTCAGAGATTGAGAGAAAACAGATAAAAAGACAGAAACTCTGCTATTTTCAATCTTGTTTGGGTCTGTTCACATTTGGCAGCCATATATCCATTAAAACTGTAGATAATTCTACATGTATGTAAGTTTGTGTAGATTCCTCTATATCTAAGTGTGCGTCTGTCTCGTGGCAGAATGGTTAGAACATTCGCATTCTGACCCTGAGACACGGGTTCGAATATCACCACGATTTTTCAGAAAAGGGACTTCCTAATGTAATCGGACTGGAGCGGCACCATTGCAAAAGTGCCTAAAAACCATACCACGGGTTGACCCAAGCCGTATGATTGAAATTGAGTAGACGATATCCTAACCCTAACACTAAAGCTGGGGGTCGTCTATAGCTGGGTTAGAACGTGCTGGCCTTGATCAAATTGTTGATCACAATAGATAACACGCTCTTTCCCAGAAACCGTAACTAAAGTCTGTTCAACATAGTTGCAGTATAAACCACAGGTGTGTTCTGTGGGTGTTGAACAAAAAATGTGCCTGAGCAAGCGCCTGTAATAGGGATTGGATAGTCACCCCAGTAGACGGTTATCGTCGAATATGAGTGGCTAACTATACACACATGTGTGTCTGTCTAGTGGGAGTTCTAAAGTCTTCTCCTTTTTGCGATCAGACAGCATAGCGTGGTGTCAGGTGATTCTAATTTCTGGGTGATCTCTTTAGGTATGTAATCTTTGTATTAAATTGATATAAGTTAGACTCTTTAAGAAGAGATTCAAAGAAAGATAGTGATGAAATGCGATAGTTGGTAATAATGTATTTATTAAGTTTTCAACTTATATTCTCCTTAATTAGACTGAACAAAAATTGTCTATAAAAGGATGAAAAAGATTCGCAGATTTTGACGTCATACTGGAGATGGGGAGTGTCAAATCCGTGAATTTCATTTGTTCAAAGTATATCTCGAACAAAGACTATAGAATATTCACTTTTTTCATCCATAATGTCCAATGTGTTTGAATTGTTCAACTGTTTAACAAGAAATTTCTCAAGTTGATGTGAAAATTTGAGTTATTTAAGATGGAACGATCTATTATAACATGCCTCTAATTCATATTTAGATACCTTATAATTATTTTCAGTTTTTCTGTTTGAATAGTTCGACTATATTTCATCTGATTCATTACTGTATATAATTAGGTTACAATGTAATTTGTATTTTATAGGAAAGGTACCTCATGAAAATTGGGATGTATTAATCTGGGAACCCCGTATCAAAGATTCGGGAGGTGTGTCACTGACTGGAAGGGGCACGATAAACTTACACTGGCCCTAGCTAACGTAATGTGTCAAATTTCATCTTAGCATTCACTATCAAAGAATAAGAGAGGACTGGTGTGAATGTATAGCCGTGATATTATCGGGGCCGACCGAGATATTTTCAGGTTACCGGATCCTTCTGTATCAGAAGTAATCATGGCTAAGGGAAATTTTCGGTTCAAATCCTTGATGGTATCCCATCTCTCACAATGTAAGCCTTAAGCAAGTCCCTTCCCGTCTTTGTTTCTCATTTGCTAAATTTTTTTATTTTTATTTTTTTTTTTTTTTTTTCGTCGCTTACATCCTAATCATTTTATTTGTCATAGAAATGTTGATTTAAATTTTCTCATTTCGACAAAGGTTTCAGCAACGAAAACTGAACAAAAATAATTTTGAACTGAATTTACCTCGTTTCCTCTTGTCCTTTTTCTTTTATTTGACAAGACATTATTTTCAGGAAAGGTCAACACTTCATACTTTTTAAAACAGATTATATTAATTTTTATTGCTTCAGACGTTATGTTTTAATGGATACCCACATTTGACTAGACGCTCCGTTTTATTTTAAACAATATTTATTTCGTCTACCGGAGAGCCATCAGGCGATAACTTAATGAAGAATACATGTCGTACAACAGGATTCGAAGGAAACGTTCTTTTTATTACGATTTCCTGGGAACACAGACCGGCAGACGAAATATATACTGTTTGAAAAAAATAAAAAATAAACGAAGCGTCTACTCAAAAAAGGGTCTCCACTAAAATAACCTTTGAAATTGTGGTAATAATGAACGTAGACCACCCTACACATTTCAATACAAATCATTCTCTACAAAAACCGTTTAATCACTAACAGTTCAATTTAGCTGAATTAAGCTTCTTACCTTGATATTTGGCGTTGCCTATTCATTACGGAAATAATACAAATATGCCAGATTAAACAAATGAATCGACTGTAATCGGGATCGTCAAATCAACGATCCTTTACTTAGCTGTATAGGACTACATTGGGAATTCAGAGATTTCCTTCTTCCAGACCGGATGACACTCAAGTCTATAGAACGCAGTCTGTTCTACAATTTTATTCATAAATGTGGAGAAGTGTTGAAGACACAGGTCTCCCCAAAATATTAACACGTAAGTGAATGCAATGAATTTGACTGAAATCTGAACTCTGATCTCTGATTCCTCAATCGGAATTCTGCCGTGCCTCTTAAACATCCAACACATACCATTAATTCTTTAAACATTTTTTTAACTTTTTAAACATTTCTTTGAAAACTTTTTACATTGAATTTCACACTTAGAGAAGAAATATCTTGAAACGTAAAAATAAAAAGTGAATGTCAGGCTGATAACTATTTACATTGTTCAGACTATAGTTCTCATCTTTATCGTCATACTCACGACGTTTCGGCCGTTGTACGCTCTGGCCTTCTTCAGGTGATATACATTGGAATTTTGAACCGAACCCTTTATTTAGTTCGCCGAGGTAGCTCATTCTCGTTCCATATACCATAGTCTGGATATTTCAGTTTCATTTATTTCCCATTAGTAACCCAACTCTCCAAGTTTTGTTCACCTCTGCTGTGAACGGGTATTGAACTCGCAACACTTTTGGCTAAGTCATTGGATTAATTCAACCAATGATTTTATCCATGGGCCCATGAAGAATGCCGGAGCGTACAACGGCAGAAAGTTCATGGCATGACAATAAAGATGAGGAAAACAGTCCGAGCAATAGTCTAACGAGTGCCCAAGAAAAAGCAATAAAATTATTCTTCGAGAAAATACATTAGTTCTAATTGGCCCATCATAGTGGTCCTCTAAATACCTAGATATGAATGTTATGGATTACTGTATCTGTAGTATACTCCTAACTCACTCTCAAAACCGTCGCTCTGTCATAGTCGATATTGATTCATTGAAGTGGAACTTGACTGAAGCTTGAAATAAACACCATCTTGACACCATCCGCAAAGCCACAACCTCATGGTTACCACGCTTACAACTTTGTGTTGAACATTCAGGCAAACATTTCGAACATCTACTTTAACTGTTCAGTGTGTGCATGAATCATGATAAACAAATAAATTTATTTCTGAATTTACCAATTTTTAGACAGTTGTCAGGCTGATGTTTAATGTTAAATTTGTTTTTGTTTTTTTTTTAATATCGGCAGAATTACTGACAAGTGCCATAACTGATTAATTTTCTGTCGTCTCAGGGTTAGTGGGTCAGCCTGGAGCATACAAATACTTGTAAAATCTCTTATCATCACCAGGAAGCACACAATTATGACCGTGTAACAGGCTCGATAAAACCGTTAAATGCAATATTTTTCTTTCAGAATTAATGATGAGTATAATTACTTGTACGTCTTTAATATATGCATGTTAAATATATTGTTATTGACAGTCAAATGTTATGTTATTGATAGTGAAATAAAGACATCAAACGACAT